AAGTGCCTTGGAGGGAAATTAAACGGGGATGAATCAAAACTTACTACACCGTATTTAGGCGGGTGAACATCCATTTACCTATTTTATCATTTTGGTGTTCAATGATTACACGAAGATGGGGCCAGGGCTATCCAGTCTTGAAATTCCCGACGGGATATCCAACGGTCGGTCGACATCACCCTCTTGAGCCTACCAAGACTGACTGGGTGTTGTTGGAATGTGGCCCACTCTGTCCCAATTCGGACAGGATCGATTGCATGTGAGAGAGAGGGATAAGCTCCAATTCTGCAAGCATGTGTAGACAATGTCATATGATGTCATATGCCCTAACATGATGTCATATGACATTGTCTACATATTTGTATGTTTGGGTATGGATGGATTTACGGAATATATATATATATATGTATATATATATATATATAATATATATATTCGTATTGTTTCTATATATATATTTACATGATAATATATATATATATACATACAAATTATATAATCATGTATACAACTCTATATATATAATACACGAAACTGCATCATAATTTTGTTATATTATATACATATTGTATGTAGGGTTGTACACTTGACGGATGCAGTATGGAACGTGGGTCATGATATATGTTTGATCGAAGACTTGGGCCATAAACCATCGCGGTAGACCACCGGTTTGGGGGTCACAACAAAAGTCATCCCACTAGGAGCATACCCAATTTCATGAATCCCAATCGGGGATGGTTCATGATTGGGTTTTCCTCACTATCAATTTTGTCATCCTCAAGCAGATGTAAATGGCAGAACATAAAACAGCAGATGTCCGGCGTCCCCCTTGAAAATTGGGAACCCCCCCAAAGCAAGAAAAGAAAAGTCGACTCATGGATGGTACCTGTTTCAACATCAGTTGGAACTCTTGCAACTTGCTACAAAACAACTCAGGTGAAGGAGACCGTTATTGTTGGAATTCCAAGCAAAATGACAAAGCCAATGAACTTATGAGTTCGTACAATGGTTGTTTCAGCGTCGCTTCATCAAACCCAGCTACGATTCCGGAAAAAGATTTGCACACCACACCATGGTCCCATGGTTTGCGCCAAGATTCCCACACGGAAAGATGTACGGCTATTTCAAGGGTGCCTTGGCCTTTGGATTTTTTTCCGAAGCAATGTTATGGCCTGAGTTGTTCGGCGAATTTTGTCGACGCCTGAGTTATTAGTTGAGATCACTGGAATATCCAAGCTGGTCCAAGCTGCATAGTCTGTAAGCATTTTTTGGTGATTTTTCTAATCGTGCCAAGTTTTACGGTGCGAACAGTGCAGGATAGGCAGATGATTGTGTGAGGAAACTATTCAGAAAAGAGACTTGTCGACCCAACTAGAGGGAATCTCTTGTCACAATGGTCCACAGCTTTTTCAACGTTCCTGTGAAATGGGCAGATGAAGCTGTTTTTTGACTCATATCCAGCGCAACCAGGGCTCTGCCAAATCTGATGGAAAATCAGGGAAAATTGATGGAAATGGCTGAAAATGGCATCTTGATGAATGTGTATGAGAAAGATATAGATAGATATACAGTAGATAGTAGATAGAGATACAGTAGATAGTAGCTAGATAGACAGATAGATGGATGGATAGGTAGATAGATAGATACATGCATCCATACATACATGCGTATATAGATAGATAGACAGACAGACAGACAGACGGACAGATGGATAGATAGATAGAGATATAGATTTAGATGTAGAAATAGACAAATAGATGGACATAGATATAGATATGGATGCAGATATAAATATAGATAGAGATAGATGAAGATAGACAGATAGATATACATTGATGTAGATAGATATAGATAGATCTAGATAGGTATAGATAGATATAGATAGATATAGATAGATGTAGATAGATTTAGATAGATGTTGATAGAGACAGATACAGCTAGATACAGATAGATAGGTCGATAGATAGTTATAGTGGTAGGTAGAAAGAAAGAAAGAAAGAAAGAAAGAAAGATAGATAGATAGATAGAGATAGATAGATAGAGATAGATAGATAGAGATAGAGATAGAGATAGATAGAGATAGAGATAGATAGAGATAGAGATAGAGATAGATAGAGATAGAGATAGATAGAGATAGATAGGTAGAGATAGATAGAGATGGATAGAGCGATAGAGTTGAGAGATAGATAGATAGATAGATACGCACATACATACATACATACATACACATACTTATACTTATACATGGAGAGATAGATAGGGAGACTCATGACTTCATGCCCATGATTTTTTTTCAGGCGAAGCCGGAGCCAGCGAGACTTGCGATGCAGGCCCTGAAACGTTTGGAGATTCAGGGAAAACCCAAAAATCCCGTGGAACAAATCGGGAAAGTTGGGAAAAATAACGAAAAATGGTGGAAATCCTGATTTTCCCGACCTGTTGAATAATTTTGAACATGTTTGAATGGTTTTTAAATTAGATATATTCAATTGCCCATTTCTTCAGACAAAGCCGGTTCTGTTTCAGAATGGAAATTGGTCAAAATAATGACTAGGAAGGTGTCCAAAGCAGTCTTTCAACCGGTGCATGTAGTGTGTGAGCCAGAGTGAAAGGTAAAGGTCATCAATTCCAGGCGATTTGCAGATTTCCTTTTTCCTTGCCTCAAGAATCTCAAAAGTACTCACTAATAAATACGGCAGTAAAGCTGTCCAAATCACCCAGCAAAAGCTAGAGTTCGTGTCGCCGTGCCCAGGCTACTTGCTGATCTTAGCCTTCACGCCACTGGGTCGCCCAGTTCTCATAGAACAACGGATCGATCACGACCAGTTGGATGTTTTTGTCAATCATGGGCTAAACAGTGTTAAAACATATAAAACATGTTGAGATTCACTCCACGTGGAAAGATTATCATATTGATTGGTATGGTGGAGTAACCACACACCAAGTGTTCAGGGAAGACACAGTATTTGCCGTTCAAAGGGTGAAGAATCCCATGTGGGTCCCATGTGGGTCCCATGTGGATCTGGTTTTTCCTAAGGAGAGTAGCTCCGTTGCTCAATGACACCGAGCTCACAGACTTTTTGCAGTCCTCCAAAGATAAGCTGAAGTTGCTTGGCTGCGAAAAGTCCGCCTTCTTTTGTGAGACCGAAAGGGATTCCATAGAACTGCCGGCTCCTACTTGGTCTTTCCTTCAATGCAAAGAGGAGGTTAGCGGCCAAGATCGATCCTTTTGGCAGTGCCAAGATAATCAAGATAATGTTTAAGGATCTTGGAGCCACAGCCTTGCATTTCGACTCACCAGTGCATGTCAGTACTTTGTTCTCCAGAGCAGACGCATTATGCGATACAGCTCTTCACCAGACTGGATACTTCATGCCAGATATATGAAAGTTTAAAAACCAGGGGCTGCCCAGATCTACTGGTGCAGGTTCAGAGGTTCCCAATTTTTGGACATACCAACCTCAATTTTCATAGCTATTTGCCCAGGAAGGCCATTGACTTTTACAGCCTCTCAGCTAAGTTTAGCGTGTGCGTCCCTGGGACATGTCAGATATGTCTCAGCTTGGGCAGCACAAGAGTTAAGAAGAGACAAAACAGCTGATGCGTGACTTGACGTGTGACTTGACGTGTATGTGAATGTCTGAGATAGTCAACTAAGGATCCCATCTCAGGAAAGTTTTGCATGAGAGGAAGGGTTCTCATGTAGCTGAAGAACACTTTAATTACACTGCAAGACAATGAGGAGGGTTTTAAAGCCATGTTGACTCAAAATGCAGCCATTGTCTTTCTGGAAATATTGCTGACAGATATACATTAGAATATGCGGCCCTTTGCGCCGCTGAATAAGGTAGTGCCCACAGATGGGAGACGAGAAACGACAAGTGGTACTTCAACCAAACTGCATGGTCGGAGTGGAAGGATTCTGTCAAACAGGACAGCCGCTACAAGGTGTATGCTGACGTTGTCCAGTTCCGAATCATCATCATCATCATCATCATCCTCATCATCCTCATCGTCTCATAACGAGCCATTGCCCTCTGCGCCCAATGGGTTATTAATTGTTTGGTTCTTGCAAAATGCTTTCCCACGCTGTTAATTTAAGTTTCTGCCTTGGTGGTTTTGCTTGAATGATTCTTGCAAGCGCTGGGATGCAGGTGCGTGGCTCTAGCATGAGGTCAGACAAGTGAACCCTCTGAATTTAAGCATACAAGGTAGCGCTGGAAAAGCAACTAAATTTTAGGATTCCCTCAGCAATGGCGAACTTTCTGTGGTGGTACTGATATCGATTTTAGGTTAAGCCCAGAACCGGCGACAAACTTCAGTTTCTACACGGTTGGTGCAATCTGGTTTTTGAAACGTGACAGATTTCTGCGACTTCCTCTCTGTCACGGTGATTGGATACTGGAGATGACCTGCTACACCTTCTAAGTCCAGGATCTTGTTGATTCACACATCAGGGACTCACTTCCCACCCAGCCACTCAGTGTGGCGATGTTTTTATCTACTGTGTGTATAACTTCAAACTCAAGCCCCACAAGTCGCCTTATCTTGAAGCCTACTCCTTCAAAATCTCCAAGGGATAGCTATGTAAGCGTCAAAATAGTTTGGGTTCCCCTTTGCATGTCCCCTTTGTCCCACATGAGTGTGGACCACAAATGCCGTTTTTTGGCCATAGGAGGGCATCTCGTCCTATTCCAATCTTCAGCTTGTAGAGGTGAGCAGGGGATCCTGGGGGGGTCATGCTGATCGCTTGGGATTTTGCACTGGTTCCTGGGGCTCTTCATGTCTCTTCCAATCTCTTCCATGTTTTGGTCAAAAGATGTCCAAAGTTTGTTTGTTGATAATGTCTTATAAGTGTGTGTGTGCTGCTTTGGGACTAGAGTAGATGTTTCTCCGGTTTGGCCCCACACAATGGGTTCAATGGCCTTCCGACGAGAGACAGGCTTCCTCCGGAGCACGTAACGTAGAAAGCCCCTGCAGCAAGAGAAACTCTACAGTTTCCGCAGTTCAGGTACTTGCATGTGCTTCGGATTGCTTAGGTAGTTTGCACAAGCATACAATTTTTCAAGTTTCCTACAACTCCACTTACTACAGATATCCCAGGATTTGCCGATGAATCCACATGAGAGGTCGATGTAGCCTGACTCAGGGGCCAAAAGACTGCGCCAGGCTCTCACAAAGCTGATCAAGCTGATGAAAAACGACAACCGTGTGGCTGGAGCGCTCGCAGAAGCCAAGCTCTTTGGTCCCCGTGCCCTGGCAATCCTTGCGAAGGTCTCAAAAAATAGCACAGCGACACAGCGATGCATATCTGCAGTGAACGAAACGAAGAAGAAACGTGGTTCTCCTTTTGGAATCTTTTGGATATGTTCCACGATATTCCAGCTATGGAGCATGAGGACTGCGCTCAAATCACAACTCCCAAGAAAGAGGGAAGTGCCATCACCAAGGGTCAAAAGCAAGCAAACAATAAGAAGGAAGACAAATGGTTAAATCAGGATAATCAGGAATAATAGGGTGATTGGAGTGTAGAAGGTGGTTGTAGGGACACGGAATGATCTTTCCCAACTCTTTGATGAATGGTGTCAGTTGATAGAAGATGTGGCTTCATGTGAAGCGAAACAATCAGAGCTCCGCATCTTCACTAGTCGCGGCTTTTAAGATATTGTGAAGTCGATGGGGCGGATGCTTTGAGGCGGTGTAATCAATACAGACGCAGTTGGCTCGAAGCTTTCATCCTTTGATCTCCTTTATGCGTCCAATGTTTTCTGCCAAATTTCCTATGTGTTTGACCCTTCTCTTGGCCGACTTGGTGCTTCCAAGTGCGGCCGCCCGCATGGACCACGAGACTGAGTTGAAGGGCACCAAGATCAGCCTTCCAGGCAAAGGCCGTCAATGTTTGCCCCAGCTGCAGAAGGACAAAGGGGGAGCTGCAGACGAACTGCTGTGCAAAAGGCTTGGTGTGTGAAGAGACCGGGCGGTGCCAATTGGGCTTGGGATCGGTCTGCAAGTTGAAGGGCTCCTTGGAAAGTGAGGGCAGCTGCGGCCGATCTCCCGAAGGCCCCAAAACCGAGTGTGGCAGTTTCGATCGATTTGGGGAGGCCCGATGCTGCGTGCCGACGGCCCTCGTGTGGGACGGAGAGATGGGGGACGGGGACGATCCGCGAGATCATGCGCCGCCCAACGGTGATGTGTCCAAATGCTGCAGTAAGATGCAGTAAGCAAGCTCATGGCTACATGCACGAAGGACAAAATCTGACAGTCTGCGTTTGGCTGTGGTAGGACTCAACTCAGTTCTGAAAAGATAGTGTTGTTGAATGGAATGCAGCACTTCCGTTCCCTGAAAGAGGAAAGCAGCAGCGCCCGATGACTTCAGTGTGGTTTAAGATTGAGCACCCGAAGATTTGTGGATGAGATGAGCATCCAAACAGAGTCTATCTTTTGGAGACGTGTTCAACGATGTTCACGCAAGGTTTGTGGAGAGTTTACTAGTGTGCTACAGTAGTCGACGGACATCCCAATCCTGTATAATTGCAAGGAATTAAGACCATATCATATCATAGTCTTATGATGTCTTATGATGTCTTATGATGTCTTATGATGTCTTATGGGTGTTTGCATTTTAAGGTCTTGATAAGTCATGACAAGTTCACAATATGGACATGACATTTTTTCGAATCAATCCTTTCACGTAGCTACAGCCGACCAATCTTTGCATTGTACAACCATATTAATTATCCATATGTCAATCCATATAATTACCCAAAATGAACGAAACAAGATGCAACAAATCTGGTTTTGATATGTTTTGATTTACTATACTTGGCAGGTGCAAAATCTGTGGGTGTTCATACTCCTGTGAAGGTGAATCCGCCCAGGTTTTGGAAGCACTGGGCCACAGAAGTTGGGTCGCTGGGCCCAGAAAACGCCAGGCTGCAAGGCTCCAGTGATGAAAGAAATGACAAACGTGGCAAATCTGCACCATGTATGTATATATAATATTTGTACAATATGATATATATATATATACGCATTACAATTTAGCAAAAATGGGTATAGGTACATCAGAGATGTAATATACGCGTTACTGTGGTCTCTCGTAAGTGCTCATACGAAGGTGACTTCTACAACGGCAATAAGTCTGTCCATGTGACCTCAGTTCACCTGGAATCTATTCCAAGTCCATGCCTGGCTGAGATGTTAGTCAAGCGATCTATGTTTGGCCCCCGTACCCTACCCATAGAACCTGTGATCATGGGAACCAGTGATTTTGGGCATGAGATCTGCATTTCAGAAGTTTGATGACTATGCCGGTGCCAAGGTAGATATGTTTGATGATATTTGCGCAGGAACAGCATAACTCTGAACGTTCGGGGTTCTGATATTTGCTAAGTTGTTCAAGATGTATCCATCCGATTCCATCCGACAACAGCTCCCTTTGCTCGCAGTGTGTTCGTGGCTGAACGCTATAGGAGATGGCAGCAATGGGCAATATGATGCTTTGTTGGGACACCTTCACGACTGGACTATGGATGTCTATGACTACTTCCACGTTACCTGCCTGCAAAAAGGGGCCTGGGAGCAAGCATGCAGATTCCGACTTAGCTACTCCTATCTCTTGCTCCACAATCAAGCAGCTGTTGTTGCAGTTCATAAGAAACACGGTGTTTCAATGGTGATTGAATTCCTTTGTTTTCTAAAGAGGTGTTGAAAGGTGAGTATCGTTTGTTGATTTCCAAACCAGTCTGTGGCAGCAAAAACCTTTCAAAGATGTTGGGTTACTGTATGCACAAACAAGTCGACATAAGACCCAGAGAACCAACATTGGACTGAATCAATGATAAATCCAGGATTGCAAAAGCAACAGCTCTTCTCCTACACCCGGGGTTGAGTTGAGCATTGTGGAGGCTCACAACCCAAAATCACAGCTGGTTGGGCTAAGAAAGTTTGTCCTCGCAGCATAGGACAACTCCACTGGCTTGCTTCGAGAATTGGATTCGCACAAGGACAAAGAACTGTTGCCTGGCAGGTGTTTCTTGAAAATAGGATGAACATGGATGAAAGAGGTATGTGAATGAAGGCGGTATGCTTCATGAAACTGTAAGTCGATACATGTCGACAAGAGTATGCTTTCAGTGAAGCCGATCCTGTTCACGTCTTGCGTATTTGAAGACACCAGTTTCAATGGAAACGTCTGCCAAATCCCACAGGGGTTGATTAATTATATGCTACGTATTGATATGTGATATAAAGACATCTGAAGCATGATGATTTGCAAGCGAGATTTGACAAGTTTTCAGCGCTGACCGGTTCAAAGGCTGAAAATTAGTCATATTGATGCGAATCTTCAGTGGTTTCTCGGCCGTGGACTGGACTGTGCTTGCAGCGAACCGCGCACATGCGCACATCTATGTAGCATCGTGTCATTGATGTGCTGTGTGCATTCAAATTGATCGTGATGTTATTCATGTGTGTGTGTGTGTCGTGTTTGTGTGTGTGTGTTTGTGTTTATGTGTCGGCTTGTTGCAGACCTTCTATCCAGCGGTGCATCCAGCAGTCCAGCTGGTAGGTTGGAAACAAATGAGCACAGTCAGGAAGCACAAAAGCTAATCAGACCCTTGGCAGAACAGAGCGAGCTGTCACAGTGGTTGTGGCTATGGGTGAAAAAGCTGGCAGCACTACGTATGTATTGAAATGGATCACGGAAAACTAAACTGACAGATGCTTGTGGTAGATTGTGGTAGTACAGTACTTGAGATTTCTGTGCGAAGCCACATCCCAGACCATGTTTGTGCTCACATTCCAGCCTAATTATTCACAACTTGCTTGTGAACAGCCCAAGTGTTCCAATATTGAGTGGTTGGACAAGGTGAGAACCAAGCCCGCCCAGTCCATCAGTCCCAGGTTTAAGCAAAATCAGTGAGGCGCGGGTCAGAGACCCTCCCCGTGTGTTGGAAATACTTGATCGTTTTTGTCGCATCTCTCCTTCGCAATTTGCGCTCCTGTTTGCCGTTCTTTCAAAAATGTTGCGGGTAAAAATTAGAAGGTTATAGTTGTACTGATACGACAAGATCAGTTGGGGTTCCATTTGGAATCATAGAGTTTGAACTTATTTTGATGGAAACTTACAACCCGTGTCAGTCTACTTGTACATTTTTGCAGGGTCCAATTGTGGCTTGAAGAGGCCTTTGTGCAGCGCAACCATGGTGGTGGACTACGTGCCTCGGGTCTCCCTTTGTTTGATGAGATGGGGCACAAAGTCTCAAAGTGTGCATCCTGATGTTGTTGACAGTGAAGAAGCCATGCAAGATAGCACAATAATGCACAATAAATGTTTTGGAATTTGCACAGCAACGTTCTCAATGGGTCAACATGGACCAGAACTCGAGTTTGCATTCAGCCGAAATTGACCTTCAAGATCCTTCAAGAATGTCTGGGCACGGGCACATAGCATTCATAGCATTGGAAGGCAACTGAATATGACAGGACCAAGAGGCCACAGCCGCCACATTCCATTCGGGTCTAAGGCACTTTACATGGGATCAACACACTTGGATGGCCGCAAAAGGAGGTCAGTCCCGGCAAGTCGGTCATCGGGCTCTACCAGTGCCCTGTGGTGTGGGAGGAAGGTTTTCGGATGTTTTCGGAGCCTCGGGGTAATCCGTGTGTCAGTGTCAAAAAGACGCTAGGGCAGGTAGGGTCGGACTCATGTCATAGACCGGACCGACCTCTTAGCTCAGTGATTGTGGGTTACAACATGTTCTTTCTATCATGGTGGTCCAGCACAGAATCCATTTGGCGTTTTCATCGTTTACAAGGTTCCTCGTGAAGAATCAAAGCTTGCAAGAACATCAGAGTAATTTGCAGTTGCGGACATTCAACACTTTACAACACTTTACAACACTTTTTCCAAAAGACCTTTTACAACACATGCCAGGAATTGATCTATCAAGATTTCCCAGGTATCACGGCACTTTCGCCTGGAGTTGGTGGACTTGTTGGTTCGCTGAGATTGCGGCCAAAGAGTCCAACACAGAACTTGCGCAGGAGCGATTTGCCCGATGGACCCCATGTACAGTAGTGAGCCACGTTCAAAACTGCCGGCAATTGATTCTTTTAAAGAACTAGTATTCGGTGGAATTTATTCTTTAAAAAATTGAATGGTGTCAAATACGCGCGCAAACTTTTCACAAGCTTCGCGCAAGCTCATGTACACGCAAGCTTCGCGCAAACCCGAAATCACGTAGATAATTGATGATAATTGAAACATACATAAATAATGAATAATACACAACGAACAGGGTTACGCAACATAATGGGACGAGATGGGTGATGAGTTCCGCTGCTTCCTTGTTGCATTGTTTGCTTGGTATGTCGACCCCCTTTTTTTAAAGGTATAGTCAGTTTAAGCAAACAAGATTTTGAATGGTACAGGCCATGGATTTTGAATGGTAAGAGGCCATGGAGTTAATTGTTGCGTGTGATCTTGACCCTTGAAGCACCTTTCAAACATCCTGAAATTCGCGCAAGCTTCGCGGAAGCAAAGGGGTTCCTGGCCACTTTATGCCCCACAGAAACCGGTAGCAAGATGATCGTAAACTCACCATATTTGCTACTATGCTGCTTCTGAGCGGGACAATAAGCAAAACCACTGCACGGACTGGGAGCCATGCCACTGTATTGATATGTATTGATTGTACTCTGGCTCAAGGCCATACACTCACTGGAGGCATTCAGGGACTACACTGCTGGCAAAATAGGAACTGCGTTGAGTGCAGCCTAGAAGTCGAGAAGCCACCGGACATGCCGAGAAGTCGAGAAGCTGAGAAACCACCGAACGAGCCGAGAATCTGAGAAGCCAAAAAACCCAAGTCCGAAATCAGCTTCCTGCATCGCGCGAGCAAAAATGCACCAAATCTCTGGAATTCATCTTCGCGCAAGGTCGCACAAGCTCAGTATGAAAGGAGGGCTATGTCTTTTTGTTTTTTGGGGGGATGCGTTTTTGTTTTCCAGCCTGGCTTTGTGGCTTTTGTGGCTTCTACGGCTTTTGTGGGTGTGTGTGTCTTTTGTGGCTTTACCATGCTTTACCTATCTATCTAATCTAGCCTAATCGAATCTAATTGAACCTAAACGCTAATCTTATCTAATCTTATCTTATCATCCCCGTGGCAATTTTCCACTCTAGAACTGGTGAACCTGTGCATAGTTTAAACGTTTTTTTAATGTATTGGAATTTTAAAATTGATGTCAGGCTAGTCATTTTATTGTTGTGGGGTTGGTCTGAACATTTTATTGGCAAGGTAAATCCTGATGATTTTTAACATGTTAAAATTCATTTATCATTTTATTGCAAAAAAAGTTTGTTTGGAGCGTTTTATTGCAGAATGGAACCAATGCTTTTCCAGGATCTTTTTATATCGATTTTATTGGGCATGTCATTTTAGATCAGCGATTTTTAAGCAATTTGAAGGAATTCTAAGGAGTTTTAAGGAATTTTAAAGGAATCATAAGGAATATTAAGGAATTTTAAAGGAATTATAAGGAAAATTAAGGAATTCAGAGAGTTTTAAAGAATTTTAAGGAATCTTAGAGGAATTTTAAGGAATTTAAAGGAATTTGACGTAATTTGAAGGAATTTGGAGGATTTTTAAGGATCTTTAATGTTTTTAATTTTTAAAGGATATTTAAGGAATTTTAAGAAGTTTTTTGGATGTTTAAGGAATTTCAAGGATTTTTAAGGAATTTTCAGGAATTGCCACGAAAGAATGCCACCGTATTTTTTTGCTATAAAATGCTGTAAAAAAAAGAAAAGCACTTGATATTTGGGCACCTTCACTCTAAAATATCTCTATCTAAAAAGAATTTCCTGACCCCTTTTTAAAGAGGCGTTTCTAAGGGTCTTCGAAATTGGATGCAAATTCGGGCATGAATTTGCTGGCAAGGCATTTTATTGCAGAACCAGTTTTCATTGTTTTTGTGCATTTTAAAGCTTGAGGCCCTATGCACAAAAGTTAGACCGCTCTAAAACTCCTGCACAGCTTCACATAATGAAATGGAAACCCGATATCTTATCTATCTACCAGTATCTATCTAATCTATTTAATCTATCTACCTAATCCACCTAATCAAACTACCTATCTATCTGTCTATCTATCTGTCTATTTATCTATCTATCTATCTATCTATCTAACTATCTATCTATCTATCTATCTATCTCTCTCTCTATCTATCTATCTATCTATCTATCTATTCTAATCTAATCTAATCTAGTCTAATCTAATCTAATCTTATCTTATCTTATCTTATCTATCTATCTACCTGTCTATCTATCTATCTGTCTGTCTATCTATCTATCCATCTGTCTGTTTGTCTGTCTATCTATCTGTCTATCTATTTATCTATCTATCTACCTGCCCATTTATCTCTCTACTTATCTATCTATCTACCTGCCCATTTATCTATCTATTTATCTATCTATCTATCTATCTATCCATCTATCTATCTGTCCTTCTATCTATCTATCCATCTATCTATCTGTCTTTCTATCTACCTATCTATCTAGCTATCGATCTACCTATCGATCTATCGATCTATCGATCTTATCTATCGATCTATCTATCTATCTATCTATGTATGTATGTATGTATACACACCTTGTTTCCCTACATGTACCTTAATCATCCTTAATCCAACCCTCAAAAGGCTTTAAAGAGACCCTAAACCAACCCTAAACAACCCTGAATAAACCCTAAACCAACCCTAAATAAACCGCAAATAAACCTTGAACCAACCTTAAATAAACCCTAAACCAACTTTAAATAAACTCTAAACCAACCCTAAATAAACCCGAAACCAACCCTAAATAAATCTAAACCAACCCTAAACAACCCTAAATAAACCCTGAACCCTTATTAACCCTAAATAAACCCTAAACCAACCCTAAACAAACCCTAAACCAACCCTAAACCAACCCTAAATAAACCCTAAACCACCCCTCTGAATAAATCCTAAACCAAGACTAAATAAACCTTAAACCAACCCTTAACCAACCCCAAATAAACCCTAAACCAACCCTAAACCAATCCTAAATGACCCTAAATAAACCCTAAACCAACCAACACTATGATAGCATCCAATGCCGCTATTTAGACCCAACACGGTTGTGCTTCAAACTATATTCTACATGTTCACCAGGTGCATGCTATGAACGGAAAAAATCGATTGAAACCATGGAAAAATATGGAAAAATCAATTGAACCCATGGCAGACTCAATGAAAACTATGGAAAAATCGATGAAAACTTTGGGTAAATCAATGAACACCATGGAAAAATTGATGAACAGTGCAAATGGCAAATTTTAGCTCCAAAATTCAGCAAAGTACAGGATTTTGCTCCAAAATGCAGCAAATAGCAAGGAAAGGTGCCCCCGATTGAAGAAAACAAAAAACAAAAAACAACCAAAAAAAAATCTGCACCTGTTTGAAAAATTGACCGCGCACAAGCTCCGATTGTGGTCGCGCAAGGATGAATAATTTTCCTTCAAGTTTAATTGAAATTTTGAACACCGTTCCAGTGACTTGAAGTGGGGGATTGCTTGACTCAAATTTGCTGTGTTATTTGTGTTTCAAAGTGTGACAAGAGTGAGTTCATTTGAGTTGTTTTATGCGCATAAAACATGCTAATGTAGCGTAATTTCATGTAACTCAGACTTGGTCAGGAGTTGCTGCAGTTCATTTGGCGCACACAGGCCGGATTAGACTCGGGTTCCGGGTCGCGATACAAAGGGGTCCGGAGTGCCACAGCTGTGGATATGGTTATGGTTGCCCTATATTTAATATAGTATAATATAGTACATATTATCATATATATATTATGTAATAATGATAATAATAATAACGACAATAATAATAATGATATAATAATACTGTTGTGTATAATATGATAGTACGATACAAGTATATTACGGGTGTGGATCAACATGATTAGGACCCAAAAAAAGGATGGGTGACTTCTAAAAGTCACCAAATTTGAGGTTTGTTGGGACCACAGTTTTGACCCATAGCAATATTCTCAAATACTCGAAGGTTGGCTGAAAATGATCTGAAAATTGTGTTGAAGTCCGCAACCTGTGTGCCCTAAGAATGCATTCGGAGGTCTTGGGCCACCCTTTGCCGTTAGTGTTGCTTGGGTCGGTCCAGGAGATAACCATTGGAGACAAACCAGTATGGCCGTTTCATGATCAATGGCCAAAATGATCGAGGGAGTTCCATGAACCACGCGCTCAATGGATCATTTCGGGTTTTCCTGTTTTCCTTGAACGATCCGTGTCGCAGTACGATTCAGCTTTGGGAGATCAGAAGTTCTCCAATTACATCAGCGAGGTGGGATGACGTTCGGGGACGGTTGAAGAGACTGGCATGTCAAGCAAGTATCGTATCCATTCGCACTTTGGATTAGTGGTTCCTGGTTAACCAGTCTGGCAAAAGATGGCAAACCATGTTCTTCTTTCTCAGGTTTAGTCTAAGTGTCCATTATGGGCATCGGTCGCCCAGGTTGCAATCAATGTTTGTATGGTCCCTTTCTCGACTGGTTGCTCAAGTTGACTTTCTGATGGATGCATTGATGTTTAAAGCTGTTCACCTCTGGCGCACATAGAGGCATAAAAGAGGTGGGATGCCAAGATGATTATCAGGGTCATCTCATATAGTTTGATATGAAACTAGTGAAAGAAGCTGTATAGACCTGTTGATGGCAAATTCAATGGAAGAGGAAGGATTTGCTTCCACCAAAGCGGACTTGGGCGTAAGATGTTTGGTGTCACCTGCGCTCCCCATCCAGATGCTTTGTTCGTAGACCATGCCAAGTGGCCTCATTCACTCAAGCAGTATCTTGATGAATATGTGTCTCTGATGTGGTGTTTCAATGTGTTTCAGGGTTGTTGCGTGCCAGGGCTTAATGACTTATATGCCATATATACTGTATGTACAATATTTTACCATATTATACCGTATACCAGTAAATCTGAACTAAGCCTGCCGACAGCACAGCAACAACGAAAATCATGTTGACCCTTGCTCGAACCATGCCATGAGCCATGTTGACAAAGCTGACTGGTCATTCATGGCCAGGTGTACTCGAACACGCACATCGTGCATACCATTGGCTACGTGTCAGAAACACCGTTTTTGTGGGGCAACTTGGCAATGCCAATGCTCCATGAGCTCTGAATCATCACCGGACAAGATTGACATAGGGGCACAGGACTTGTTTCTACTGCTTCCACATGGAAAAGTCAGAATCATTGAAATCTACCCTCACTGCTCAAGGGCCTTGCGCATCCTAAGAATTGGGTTGTTCTTGTCGTTTTTGTGGTTCTTGTCGTTGCCATTGTTGTCGCCTATCGCTTCTGAGTCTCGTTGTGATTTGTTGTTGTTGTTGATGATGATGATGATCATCATGATCATGATCATGATCATGATGATGATGATGATCATGATCATGATGATGAGGGTGATGGTGATGGTGATGGTGATGGTGGTGGTGACGACGCCGCCGCCGATGATGACGATGATGACGATGAGGAGAATGAGAGCGATGAAGACGATGGAGACGATGAAGACGATGAAGACGATGAAGACGATGAAGACGATGAAGACGATGAGGTTGGTGAGGATGATGACGACGAAGACGTTTTGCCGGTGAGTTTGCAGCATGGTGGCGGCTGTAGAATTGTTTTTCCGTTAATTGTTTTTCTGTTGGAGCACAAATACGCTGTGTTGATTTTGCACATAGTGGATCATATTGGGGTCCCTGGGGTTCTAGGTTTGTTGGATCTGGGTTGCTGGCCCGAGGTAGCTCTTACTGTGTCCGGGCCATTGAAGCTCTGAAACAAACCCAGGCTGCGGGTTCTGTGGGACTTCTGCGAAATGGTGTGGGGATCCAAAAGTGCAAAAAGACTCAAAAAGCAAATGCCCATACAAGAGTTTTTTGTCCCTGCTTGCAACTAGCTACTAGTTGAACCGTGATATAGATACGACAAACAGTATTCAGTTCAAAGACCACAGCCGACTCTAGCAATCTAAAGGGGACGTCTCATCTTGTTTAGATGTCTTGTCCTTGGCAAAACTAGGCTCAGGCCCCTGTGGATTGACCATCATGGGGACACAGACAGAATCATTCCGGTGAGGGAACTCTCCAAACTGCCAGCCAGCTCAAGTCCGCAAGATTCCCATAGCCATTGGGACAGGCTGCAACTACTGCAACACCTGCAGCACTGGAGGAGGAAGGGCAGCTAAAGCATGAGGCCTGGCACGAATCAAAGACGTGGAATGGTTCAGCGAAGCATCTAAGGGAAGAAAGGGTTGCCAACCATCAGGATTGACATGGAATATGTTATGAATTGCTATGATACGTATATAGACTGTACATATATGTATATATACAGTATTGACCATTTGCCAAAAATAATTGACAGAAGTTTTGTACTAGTTGTTGATAATTAGTGTGGACCTAGTTGTTTTTCCTCTTCGTTATGAGGCGGCACGTAACTAAATTCATCAATTCTGCAAGGCAGCGCTAGCAAACCCGCTAGGTTTGCGCTAGTTTTTTTTCCACACCCATGTTCGGAGATATTTTTGTGTGTTCCTGTCTGCTTGTTATTTCAACATGAAGAAAAGTCAAGATGTAACAATTAGCTCCTTAAGCCTAAGGATGTCTTAGAGAATTTCCGTGCTACTGAAATAAAAATCCTACATTTTTGAGGTTGCGGCTCAACTTTGCGAATTTGTACGTAATTTTACCCGCTAGATCCCCGCTAGCAATGCGCTAGCAAAAGTTTCAAAAAATGGCTTTGGTTGACCCGTGACCCAGTCGCCACCAGAGAACTTGTAGTTTATCCTGTCTGTTTGACAAAGCAACAGTGACAGCAAAGGCAACGACCAGCTCTGCAGATATTCCAGTTCCACCACTAACAACTAGCAGCGGCACCCACTTCATATAGACGCGCGTTAGCATTTACTGCAGGTTTTAGCTACGGCTTCAAACATGAAAGATAAAATGCATGGTTTCAGACTGTTTAGATCAGTCATGGTTTTAAAGGCACAATAAGAAGCGGCACGCAAGGAATTACGATTTATCAACAAAACCAGGAACAGACATTTTGACAAACCGTCATATATATATATATGTATATAGCGACACACTGAAACTTAGAATGCTGCCCAGTTTTCCAAAATTTTGATTTTTGAATTTAGAATGCCGCCAAAAACCATGTTTTTAAGGGTATTTTAGAATGCCGGCCAGAGAATATTCTAAGTTTCAGTGTGCCGATACCCGAACCACAGCATTGCCATACAAAATGCATATTTTAGGTATAAAATGGCATGCTAAGTTCTCTCCGTGCAGCGTGTTTCCCTCCATAAGGGTACCCCAAAAACAGCAAACAGAAAAATAACTCCGTTTGAAGCACATCTGCAAGAAAAAATGCAGTTTACTGCATATTTGCGGGGTTCTGTGAGCATACAAGATCACAAAGGACCCAAGGTAAAAAGACCCAAGCGTGTTCCGAAGGACCCAAGCGTGTTTGTAAAATGTCAGAAATGCTGGGTAAAAACAAAAACAACTAGACGACGGATGGCCCGAGAGCGTAGAGGAGCAGGTCTTCTCTTGTTAGTATGGAGACACCATATTAGAAACAATATATTAAAGATGTGTTATAGGCAGTCGAGAAGAGGAGTATTAAGACAAAATAGCAGAAGTGCAACACAATAGTTTGCATCGCAAACACGCACAGACCCTTTTACGCACAGACGCTTGTACACACAAAAGCTTTCACACACAGAAGCTTTTACAGACAGACACTTTCACACACAGACCCTTTTACGCACAGACGCTTGTACACACAAAAGCTTTTACACACAGAAGCTTTTACACACAGACGCTTTTACACAGACACTTTTACACACAAAGCTTTTACACACACAGACGCTTTTACAGACAGACGCTTTTACACACAGACGCTTTTACACACAGACGCTTTTACACACAGAGGCTTTTACACACAAACACTTTTACACACAGACGCTCTTTTATTTCACCCACAGGACGTTTTACACACAGAAGCTTTTACACACAGACGCTTTTACACAGACACTTTTACACACAAAGCTTTTACACACACAGACGCTTTTACAGACAGACGCTTTTACACACAGACGCTTTTACACACAGACGCTTTTACACACAGAGGCTTTTACACACAAACACTTTTACACACAGACGCTTTTACGCACAGACGCTTTTACTTTACACACAGACGCTTTTACACACAGACGCTTTTACACACAGACGCTTTGACACACAGAAGCTTTTACACACAGAGGCTTTTACACACAAACACTTTTACACACAAACACTTTTGCACACAGACGCTTTTACACACAGACGCTTTTACACACAGACGCTTTGACACACAGACGCTTTTGCACACAGACGCTTGTGCACACAGTCTTTTACACACAGACGCTTTTATTTTACACACAGACGCTTTTACACACAGACGCTTTTACACACAGACGCTTTTACACACAGACGCTTTTACACACAGAGGCTTTTACACACAAACGCTTTTACACACAAACACTTTTGCACACAGACGCTTTTACACACAGACGCTTTTACACACAGACGCTTTGACACACAGACGCTTTTGCACACAGACGCTTGTGCACACAGTCTTTTACACACAGACGCTTTTACTTTACACACAGACGCTTTTACTTTACACACAGACGCTTTTACACACAGACGCTTTTACACACAGACGCTTTTACACACAGAGGCTTTTACACGCAAACACTTTTACACACAAACACTTTTACACACAGACGCTTTTACACACAGACGCTTTTACACACATTTTACACACAAACACTTTTACACACAGACGCTTTTACACACAGAAGCTTTTACACACAGAAGCTTTTACACACTAACACTTTTACACAAACACTTTTACACACAAACACTTTTACACACAGAGACTCTTACACACAGACGCTTTTACACACAGACAAGTCCGGCACAAGTAAAGGTTAAAATCGCAATTTTTCCTCAGTTTTTGACGATCGACCCTCATTTCGTGCGAAAGGGTTGCTCCGGCACAAGTAAAATCGCAATTTTACCTCAGTTTTTGACGATCGACCCTCATTTCGTGCGAAAAAAGGGATTGCTCCGGGGCAAGTTTAAAGGTGTAGTTCGTAAAATCGCAGTTTTACCTCAGTTTTTGCCGATCGACCCTCATTTCGTGCGAAAGGGTTGCTCCGGGACAAGTAAAATCGCAATTTTACCTCAGTTTTTGCCGATCGACCCTCATTTCGTGCGAAAAGAAAAAGGGTGCTCTGGGGAGGGACAAGTAAAATCGCAATTTTACCTCAGTTTTTGCCGATCGACCCTCATTTCGTGCGAAAGGGTTTTGATCCCCGGGCGGCACAAGTAAAATCGCAATTTTACCTCAGTTTTTGACGATCGACCTTCATTTCGTGCGAAAGGGTTGACGTTTCGTGACTCACCGCCGGCACCACCCTCGGCCTAAAGAGAGAAAGATAAAGAAGGCGAGAGAGAGAAAAGGGAGAGAGAAAGGAGAGAAGATGTGAAGGTGAGAAGATGCGAGAGAAGGTGTGAAGATGAGCAGATGTGAAGATGAGCAGATGTGAGAGAAGATGTGAAGATGACCAGATGTGAGAGAAGATGTGAGAGAAGATGTGAAGATGAGCAGATGTGAGAGAAGATGTGAAGATGAGCAGATGTGAAGATGAGCAGATGTGAGAGAAGATGTGAAGATGAGCAGATGCGAGAGAAGATGCGAAGATGAGCAGATGTGAGAGAAGATGTGAGAGAAGATGTGAAGATGAGCAGATGTGAGAGAAGATGTGAAGATGAGAAGATGTTTTACAGACCCCCACTATTGGAAGAACCCTGCGCTCAGACGCTCTCGGGAAAAATGGCATCCATGATTCATCAAGATCACAAAATCAATGCCGGCATTCAAAGTCTACATTACTAGAAAGCATCCCCCTGAAAATACCCAATCAAAACATGCCAAAACCATGATGGAAGTAAAATCTGCTGATCAAACTTAGATGTGGTCATATTTCAATAGATCGATGAAACCTGACTAAGAACCAACACTCCAATAAAATAATGCAGGTAAAACTTGAAAAATAACATCCGTTGTTGGTGAAAATCACAAGATAGATGCCGGCATTCTAAGTTTACATTCAAGAAACGCGGCGACCTGACAACTCCCACTCAAAACATCTCAAAACCATGATAGAAGGACAATTATATGATAAACAATTCAGTGGCCACGCATTCTAAGATCTCCATTCAGGGGCAAAAAAGTCCCTCCTGCCACTTTTTGGCATTTTGCAGGGACTTGTTTGCAGCGCGCCGTTTCCAAAATCGCATTCTAAGTTTCAGTGTGTCGCTATATACCATAGAGACTATAGAGGTATGGATATATAATTATCATATAAAGCAATGATTGCCAATGATTGCCAATGATTTGCACAAGTCACATGGCAGCATCCATTATTTTGCTGCCTTTGATTTAGCGCTGGTTTTTTTTGTTGTCATAGACATCAGGAAAGCGACGCTAGCCACAAGACCGGTGGGTTTGCTCACCTTAATGGATCAGGGATCGCAATTTCAATCACTGCACGTGTTTGTTTCTTTCATCAGCATGAGATATGCGCAAGGGAAGGTGAATGGATTATCCATGAAAGTCTGTTTTTTTCAAAAGCACTCAGCACAATGTTTGGACCTGTCCAAAAAGAACAACTGGCGCTCATGACTGGATAAGACAGGCAACTGATGTGGGTTCGTGCTACCCATGCAGGGTCTTCCGCCTCACCAGGTCAACCAGGTCAACAACACAGCCTTGTTTGAAAATGCTGAGGCGGGTTGTGCCATCTTTGGTCTTTTGCAGAGACGGGATGGTGAAGTCACGAGTGTGATCCCCGTGTTTGATGGTGATTTGATGGTTAAGTCCCTATTTTGGAATCTTTTTGATGTGGCTCCGCAGTGCTGCGAGGTCTTTCATAAGTTTGATGTAGTGCTCCGCAATGAACTTTGTTTGTCTAACTCCTTGACAATTCAGGGTTCATGTATATAATACTGTCCATGATAGTGGATGGGCACTTACATTGCAACATCCCTATGATCATTTCTATTATTAAATCATCTTGTTTATTATTACGTGTATCATCATTATTATTGTACTTGCTATTGCTATTCTTATTGTCATTATTTTTACTATTATTATTACCATTTAACTAGAGATCTCCCAATCCAAATGAGGCTAGGATGATCTGCGGCCTAGGCAGAGAGTGAGCCAAAGCAAAGGCTTTCGAGGCGCTAAGGGTGCCACTTGGGTGGGAAATACATTGCCAAGCAATTCAATGTGAATCATGTACTAGTATTTACATGTATTTATATGTGAAAGAAAATACAGATATAATTTAATGCTATATATAACTCTGTATCTAATGCTAGACAGAATACTAGATACAGTATAATGCTATGTATACAAAACGCTAGTTATAGGTAATATGTTTTACTGCAATGTATACTGCTATATATACTGCTACGCATATAATGTTAGATCTAATGCTAGACATAGTGCCAGATATAATGCTCTCATATGCTCTCTATAAGACTGACACTAATTGCAATGCATATATGTCGCTAGATATATTGCTAGACATAATGCTAGATATGATATTATATATATAGGATATTATATACTGCTACGTGTATATGCAATGCTATCTATAACACTATATATATATACATACATACACGTGTATGATATGTGTTCCGAAACCTAACTGATCTCTATTTCACCAAATTTGCATGTACAGTCGTCAAACGCCAACTGATAGTGGAACAGCTTTTCACCGGAATTTCTATGGTTAGAGATGTGCTTCTCAAAATTAGGATCTGTTAAACAAGACTGTCCACATATGTTTAGTTAACTACAGTTGCCAGAACTATATAGAACAAATGAGGTTGATCAAGTGCAAGCGGGCACCCCAACTATCACAAGTTTACAAAGTCGGATGAAGGTACATCGATATACCATTGCTTACAGCATGGGGTTGATCCATCACTAGGTCTCAATATATATATATATTGATTGTGGAGATCTACTGTATTTGGACACACATCCCATCCCCGTTTGACACCATCAATGTGATCAAGGCGCTTCAGCTTGCGCAGCAATGCAAAGTTGGAAGCTACTCTGCAGGTGGGGCAGACCGATACACAATCCCATATAGATCAACGTTCATCATCATCATCATCATCATCATCATCTATTTATGTATAGAAATTTAGATATATATATATATATATATATATTGGTTGTATTTTTCCCAATATAGGCCAAATAGGTAAATATAACTATTGGGAGGGCATACCCTACTAGTGGCCATCGATAG